ACCATGATTCTGTGAAAAGCCCACACATTCCATTGTGACAGAGAAGGTGGCGGGGCTGGGGCTGAGGACTGAAGCTGGGTCCAAGGGGAAGAATGAGTTTGGGGCAAGGATCAAGGTTGGCCCTCAGGCAAGGGCAGGGCTGCAGTCTTAGGCTGTGCAGGGGCCATTACCACATGCAGATGAAACAGGACCCACCGGAACAGGCTGTGCTTCTGCTTTTTGCTTAGGGCCTGGCATCTCATGACAGACAAGAAGCTCCCCTGCTTCGCCTGCGCTGCTCTGCAACATAATGGGAATGGCCCACCCTGCTGCCCGGGACTGACGTTTTCCCTGAAGAATTCAGCTAATAGTCTGTTTGGCTATATTGTCTTGGGAAGACTATTCCCATTTCTTCCCACAACAGCAAATTAGTCCTCTTTTCAGTTTCTCTCCAGGAGGGCATCAACACCAAGGCTGAGAAACCAGAGGCTTCCAGGCTGCGTGGTTGGCAGAGGCACTGTCCCCAAAGAAGCTTCAGCAGGCACAGGTTCTGCAGCCAACACACCAGGGTGAGCATGGGGACAAAGTAAGCTCCTGTTTCCTGTGTGCGGTCTACGGAGGAGAGGAAAGTGACAACCCTGGGAAATGCCCCCGGGAGCTGGGAATCAAAGGCAGGCTCAAGCTCTGGTGACAGAGCCATGCCATGGTGAGGGTGTAAGTGAGTTGCTAGAGAGGACCTTGCCGGTGGGAGAAGGGAGGCGCAGGTGAGAAGGCCTAGCCTGAGGCTGGAATGGGGTGTCCCCAGAGCAAGTGCTGAGACAGGGAAGTGTGAGTGAATGGCAATGCTGTCACCACAGCACCTGTGGATGTCATGCAAGATGGAGTGAGCAGCATCTTCCAGGGATGCCTGAGAGCAGACACCTGGCCTCTGGCACTGTTGTACACCTCACAGAGGGACACAGCAGCTGGCAGAAGCGGACAGTGTACCCACACTGGCCCACAGAGCTTTGCAGAATAGCCATTCCCTCTCCTCTTCTTGGCTCTCATGTCATTTCTGGCTCTTTTTTTTTTTAAAAAAAAGACTGTTGGTAACAAGGACAACAGCAGGTGGCACAGGACAGGAGCAAGCCTGCAGCACTCAGGTGCAGCTGGGGTCTGCACCCAGAACGCTGAGCCACAGCTAAGCCAGGGCTGTCTGGCTCCTCCACTGTCCAATTGCCAGGCTCCCTGAGGCAATTGTGGGGGAACCCGAGCTGACTATATACCCCACCTGCCACCCAGCGCCCCGTGAGCGGAGGAGGGGCTGGGGGAGCACCCCAAGGCAGCAGACCACACACCCCCGGCAGATCCCTGGTGTCTTAAGACCTCATTCCCTAAAAATAAAAAAAACCTGGTCACCTCCTGACAGTCACAAAATTACCTAGTGAGTGAGCACAGGCCCAGAGGCTATAGAGGTGCACCTTCCCTGGCTGCCACATTCCACTTCCTGATCAGCCTCATCTAGTGAACAGACTGTTAGCTTTGCAGAATAAGGCTATTATGAGGTTCAGACTGACCAATTTTTTTTTTAAATCCTCATTTGTCCTAAGTTTGATAGGGATTTTTTTTCTTTTATTTATTTGTGGGGGGGGGGGCCAGCTCAGCCCACCAGGGGGCGGGGCTGTCTGGCATGTGGTGCTGGGGGATTGAACCGTGGTCCCTGTGCTTTGCTAAGCTTGTTCTAAGTAGGTGCTTTAGACCACTGAGCCATCTCACCAGCCCTTTTTTTCTTTTTTGTATTTAGGACAGGGTTACATGGTGTACAGGGTCTCACTGCATAGACTGGACTTGTAGTGATCCTTCTGTTTACAGCCTCCCAAGTGCTGTGAATACCTGCTCACGCCACCACACTCAGTCTCAATCTCAGCTCACACTGGGGGCGGGGCTGACACAGCAGGCCAGGGGACTCAAACTCGAGTCCACCCCAACCTCTGCATCTGCCTAGCAGACACTTTAATCTGCTGGGGTATTTGGTTGGCCAACAGGGATTTTTTTTCATTGTTTCAAAAATCTTGGATTTCTAATTTTGATTTTACCAATTTTTTCATTTATCTTTATCATTTCTTCCTTTTCTTAATGATGTTTTTGATGTTTTTAACCTTCTTTAGCCACATCCCTAGCACATAGTGTACATCCAAAAACTCCAATGAGTAAATGAATTACTTTTCCAACACCTGAAGTGGCAGATAAATGAGGAAAGGCCTGGTCCAGTTACACAAGGAGAATGGTCAGTGTGGTGACCACACACACACAGGGCAAGGAGATGCAGAACCCTGGGCTCAGTCTGGATGCAATGGGCCCCAAAGTTACACGCTGAATACCTCACCTGAGATGGGACTGCACTGAGACAGGCCTAGAAGGAGGCAAGGTTAAATGAGGCCTGCACGTGGAAGATGAGAGACCGGCATGTGGCATGTTCCATTTGCCCTGTGAGGAAGAAAGTGTAGCCACCCACTGACAGCGAGAGAAGAAAATGGGGTCACAGCTGGAAGGCACCTGATGGATGCTTGCTCCATAGCTGACGGCTGAGTCCTGGGCAAAGGGGACAAATCTGCAGTGGCACCACTGTGCTCCCAGAGATTCCCCAGCAGTCACGTCACAGAAAAGAGAAGTCGGGATGGAGCTGCAGCCAGGGTTTGCCAAGGGCAAGCAGCAATGACCCCCGGAAGTCAGGCCGCCTCACGCCCACTTGCCCCACTTCCTTCCCTGCCCGTTTTATCCGGAAGACCACTGCTCTCGTCTCCAGCAGTAAGGCCCCATTCTGCCTTACCATGACTAACACCGTGAGCAACCATCTACTGTCAGCAAGGGCAAGTCACAGACATGCTACTTGGCAGACATTTACTCTAAAAGACTGAAAAGTTCCCTAAGGCTGATATAAAGAAGATGCAGAAAGCAATTTATAATAAAACATGCATTTCAGCTACCAGCTCAGGCACAGCTGCAAGGCTCACCAAGGCAGCCAAGAGCTTATGGTTGCACACAGCGCCCCGAGAAGACCCAGGTTCAACCAGACGACGCAGATTTGCAGAGTCTGATTCAGATACCATGGGCACCAAGATTCAGCCTTCAGGATCGATAAAACTCAACTACCTGTTGCATTTTTTAAAAAGTTAACATTTCAGGCTGTTAGAAATAATGACCTTAAGTATAAAAACTGGAAAGTTTGGCTTGAATTCAGGCAATCCAGCACCTCCACCACGCAGCACCACGCGCAGTCCACGCTTCGGTCATCGTCCATTTCCTGCAACCAAGTCTCGGAGAGAAGCTCGCCATTCACTATGGCCATCTCAGATCTGACTGTCACCCTCAGGTAACCCCAGCAGGCCCCACTGTGAGTGACCTCAGCTGAAAGTACAGAGCAGGAGGAACTTCAGAAGGCAGAAAGGAAGGTCATGAAAACAGCCTGTGGTAGTCAAGGGGACTAAGGTATGATGTGCACATGTGCCGCTCCCAACGATATGTGCCAACTGGACGAGGGCCCAGTCAGCCCACAGGCGCAGCACGGGTGGCCCTCTGCGCCTCAGACGTTCACTGCTACAGTCGTGCTCTCTAAACCTGCATCAGCAGGCTCATCTCAGACCCGAGCTCACCTGTCAGTGTGTCAGGTAGGAGAACCTGCACAGCTGGGGCCCCAAGGGAGCAAGGAACGTTCCAGCCTGGCTACTGTGCCTTAAACTCCTAAAGCAACCCCCCAAATTCTGCTTCCTCATCAAGCAGCTGGGTGAGTCTGAGAAGCAGAGGTTGAGATATGTGTGCTGTGGGTGTCACCTAAAAGAAAAGGGAGTCCTCAGAGGGATAAGCAGGGGTGCAACACCACCAAGAGCCTGCCAGAGAACAGACTCCAAACTAGGTCACACCAAGCAGATGGCAAGACAGGATCAGGAGTCTTTATGTTGTCACTTATCAGGACTCTCAATCTTTTTTGTTTTAGAACCAAAAATCAAACTAAGGACCTTACACTCTGAGGTAGGCACTGGCCACTGAGCTATGTCCCCTGCCCCCAAGCCTCTCAGGCTTTGAGTCCATTTCTTCAAGGGTAGAGAAGAAGGCTGTAGTAACACTTACTTCCGGAGCACTGAAGACTGGGCAAATGACTTACAGTACACGAAGACACTTTTGTGGAGTACATTACCAATGTGTCACTACTCTCGCCGTTATTTTTAAGGAAACAGCAGGCTGTGGAGAAAATGACCCACTGCTCCTTAGGGCATCAAACACCCAATGGCCACGCCTGCGTAGAAGCAAGACCATGCTCCCTAATCTCATTAGTAATGAAATGAGGTTGACGGTGACCTACTGAGTGAGTGCGCCTGCCTGGGAACTGCACAGCTCAAAATACCTATGGGGCTGGGAGCTGTTCAACCTTTCTTGGGGCCTATGAGAAATTCCCCAGAGCTTCCCCAAACTCACTACAGTCTTACAGGAGTCGGGAGTGTGGTCAGTGTGGGCCCAGTCTTCCTCCCCAGGGCTTCTTGGAGACCTCAGCAATGAATTTCATGGGTGGAATGGCTTCCGAGAACCCCTCTTCCATAGGGCACCGGAGCAGGGGACTCATGAAGCATGCATTTTGGAAATCAAACCTAACACTCCAGGCATAGTGTTAGAATGGGCACACAGGCCAGCATGGAAGAGAAACAACTAAGCTTTCCCTCAGTGACAGCAGCTGCAGAACATTTCAGAAACAGGACAAGCCAATTTGAAAACACAGTACTGACAGCATCACGCTTCCCTAACCCACCTTGATCCCGTTCCTCCACACCCACCAGCCATACAGCCCCGCACTCCACAGTCACATACAGCAAATCTATGCATTTATTTTTGTTCTAAAATGTGCTTTTTCCTTAGTGAACTTTAATATCAGTCCAAGACCTCCACCTCCCCTTATAAAAACAAAACAAAACACACACACACACATGCCACCCTCCAACTAGGTGAAAAATCCCCGGCGATTAGTCTATAACAAATATTGACACAAAGGGGAAAAAACCATGTTGAAATGTATTAGAATCAACCTGTACAAAAAAAAATTAAAATATAACCTGAAACTGTTCAATTCATAAAGTCTAGTCAAGTCCTTTCTCTGCCCAGGAGTATGCTTCAGTCAGAGGGCTCTGGTCACCAGCCAAGGGAAGAGGAAGAGACAGAGCAGAGTCTTTCACAAGCTGAGGGGCCTTGGGCCACCATCCCCACCACAGGCACAGCCAGGGTAGCAGACGCTGACAGCCAGCCAGGGACAGCAGGCCCGCGGCGATCGAAGGCTGAGCAGTTAGAGGGAGCAGGATGAGGCCAGCAGAGGACGCCACCCACACTCTCCATCCGTTCAGAGGCCAGCTCAGACCACGCAAATTCCCACAAGCGAGGGATCTGAACTAGGCTGGAGAGGCTGAAACCCGCAGGTTTAGTAAACATAGCCCAGCACCACATCCCTCTGTGGCTCCCCCGGAGCTGCCAGCAGGGGTAAGGCAGGAGCAGGGGTGGGGGGACCTGGCTAGCGGTCCTTGCACCATGGTGGGAGCTGTGCTCATCCCTGCAGCTGGTTAAGGGGAAAGCTGCCCCAGCCAAGGACCAGCCTGACAAAAGGACATGGAGCAGAAGAGCAACCAGGAGGGAGGCGTGCCGCACAGAGGTAAGGACCTCCTGGGGGGAGCTGTGGTGCTGACCCTGGAAGATGGCATCCATGGAGCCCCTGAGTCTGAAGGGACCAGCTGGGGAAGGAAGGTGTGGGGAGGGCAGGGGCAGCGGCTTTTCTGAAACAGTGCCAGTGGGTACAGGGGGCGCGAGCGAGGGGCAGGCAGGTCTGGAACTCACTGCAGCTGGAGAGGCAGAAGAAACTGGCCCACGGTGTCCCCTCCCCACTGGACCCAGGCCTGGTGAGTGCCAGCTGCCCCGGCCGGCCCTAGTGGCGGCTGGAGACCAGACCTTTCACTTTGGACATCTTCTTGGTGGGCTGCCTCTGCTCCACGTGTGGTGGGCACTCCCGCTCAGTCAGTTGCTGCTCCATTTCCTGAGCCGAGGATGACGCAGTGGCCTTCAGTGTCTTCTTGATGTTGGTAACCTGGGGAGAAACAAGTGGGGTGCTCAGCCAGTGGGCAGCCCCCCCACACCATGTTTGTTCTCACTGCAACGAGAGCTTCCAAAGGAGCAGCCAAGGGCCAGGATAGCTCAGTGGACTAAGCACCTGCTTACACAAGCGTGGGAACTGGGGTTCAATCCCTGGCACCATACACTGCACCAGCCCCACCCCTGGGTGTGCTGAGCCAGCAACCAAGTCCATGCATTGTGGTGCACACCTGTAATCCCAGCACTTGGGAGGCTGAAAAGAGTAGGATCACTACAAGTCTGAGCTATGTAATGAGACCCTGCACAAAATACTAGGAAAAAAAAAAAAGGAGCAGCCAAAATCCTCTGAGAAAATTGGAAATGATCAGAAATCCAGCTGGGGAGATACACAGGAAATGAGTCCAGCAAAAAGGCAGAATCGATGCTTTCTTGGTTAAAATGAAAGACATGGGCTAACTGGCAAAGCAGTACCACACAGAAGGTAAAAGAAAATATTAAAATGTCCTTGGGGGGGAATAAAAAAAATAAAATAAAATGTTCTTAGAAACAGAAAGGTGGAGCTGGTGAGATGGCTCAGTGGTCTAAAGCACCTACTTAGAACAAGCTTAGCAAAGCACAGAGACCACGGTTCAATCCCCCAGCACCACATGCCAGCCAGCCCCGCCCCCTGGTGGGCTGAGCTGGACACACACACACACACACACACACATAAAATTTAAAAAAAAAAAAAAAAGAAAAGAAAAGAAATAGGTAGGTGACCCAAGCTATTCAGCTGACTATACTCGACTAACTGCTGTGCATGTATAATACCTTAAATTCTTTCCAAAAACTTGGGGTACAGCTCCACAAACTCTTCTAGAATCTACTGCAGGATGAACTTCCACCATGTGAGCAACAAAAGAAAATCCAGGAAAAGACTGCCAAGTGCTACCACCACCACTCCCCACTTGCTACTTATCTTTGTTCCTTATACTAAAATAGGGGCCCCAAAATAGCTACACACCATGCTTCCTTGTCACATGTGTCCTAGTATACTATGAGTGTGCTACCACGTCTACATGAGCTCCCTGGTGCTCCCTCCTGTAGACAGCCTGCAGCAGCGCTCCGCACACTCTGCAAATCCCTGAGAAGACACGGGCCTAGAAGTGAGCTTTTCATGGGGGCTGCACACAGTGAGGAGTCCCTGTGTGACATGCCTGGAACACAAGCGCTTCTGACTTCAGAGATTTTCAGGTTTAGGAATACTTGCATTCATTGCACCAATACGAAAAGACCTCGAGATGCTGGAGCATTTCTGATTCCTGCTTAGGCATGCTCCGCCCACATTACCTTCTGACAGTGCCTGCACCAGTGTCTACTTCTGCCAGCTATGCACTCCGGCACCGGTTTACAGCCAGTTCCCCAAGCGCAGTTCTACTGGCTGTTACACTACTGCTCTTCAGCTCCCTGACAAGAGAAGTGGAGGAAAAGCTGGCGGAGGAAGGAGGTGGTAGGAAGAGCAGTCAAACAAAGATCAGCATTTAAAGAGTCACCAGAATGAAGAAAGCAAAGAGGCCACCGCACATGTCTGTGGGCACAGTAAAGGGTTCAGGAGCACAAGGACACCTCAGAAGGAGGCAGCCCTGCCCGGAGCCCGGCTGCTTCAGGGTCTTGGTGGGGCAGCAGATGAGTGAAGACCAGAGGGACAGGACAGCTCTCCGATGTCCCCTCGCAGGAGATGCTTACTGCTGCTGCTTACCTGACTGCAAGGTCTGCTTTGCTGGCCTTAGAGGAAGTCTAAGGAATGTGATTTCTAGAAGTGTGCTCTACTGCACGTCTGGAATCCCAGCACTCTGGGAGACTGAGACAGGAGATCTACGTTTCAACCCAGTCCAGCCAACTTAGCAAGATGCCATGTCAAAATAAAACGGGGATGGGATGGAGCTCAGCATGAAGACCCTGAGTTCAAACCCAGTACTGCCCCCAAAAAAGTGATTTCCTCAGTATTGCTATTTTCTTTTTTGGCGGAACGAAGGACTGAACTCAGGCCCTTGCACTTGCCAGAGAAGTGCTTATTCCACTGAGCCATCTCCCCACACACACCCCCTTTTTGCAAGTATTGTTGTTTTCTAAAACAACCCTCCAAGGCTTCTCCAATTTGAAGTGCTTTCTAGTAACAGGAGGAAGACTAATTTAAACTCTTAGCTAGAGGTGACAGATGACTTAAGTCTTCTTGTGCATGGCAGTTACCTCTGACTTCCAAAGCATGAGAGGCACCTGCAACTGAACAGTACCAAGGCATCCCAGCCTTATATGGGGCACTCTGCAGCCCCAGGGAGCCAGCACCTCACCCCTGCCTCTGTGGCAGGACGGACTCAGCCTCTACCCTGTCTGTGCCTTCTGTACCCTGAGACAGCTGGCCTCCCTGCCTCCTGCCAATACAGCCACTGAACAACCCAATTTGGGGTCCTAGCAAAAGCCTCTGAGTATAAAGGGGTCACAACAGGCCACCCACCCTCACTGTGGTCTACATGAGCTGCCCCTCAAGCACTCGTGATTCCTGCTCACAAGAGCAGAAGGGGTGGTGGGTTCTTCCTGGAGCTGGAGACAACACTCTGATCTAGAACTTTCTTCCCTGCTGCGAAGCCACGCTTCCCCACTCCAAGCCTGGGACAACTATTCTTTTTATTCTTTTTCTTTCTTTTCTCCCCATGAAGCACTGGGGATTAAGCCAGCACTTTGGACATAGGAGGCAAGCATTCTAATTCAGAGCTATATCCCAGCCCTTTTTAACTTTTTGAGAGAGGGTATCACTAAGTTGCCCAGGCTGAGCCTTACACTGTGATCCTCCTGCCTCAGCCTCCCAAGCAGCTGGGATTACAGGAGAGTACCTCCATGGCTGCTGAAAACAGTCAGCCCATCTCTGCTTTTCAGCCTTTCATCACCCTGTGATTGAAGCTGGGCAAGCCTCCTCAGCAGGACACCTTGACACTACTGGGGACTCGAGCGCCGCTTTCACACTGACTGCCCACCCACTCCCGCCCACACTGCCCTGCACCACCTCAGCCCCCTCAGGCCTGGCAGCACCCCTCACTCCAACTGCCCTGTCCATCCTTGGGGTCACGTGCCAGTGTCCATGTCACACTCTCCATCACGCTACCAACACCTGTAAGGCCTTGACAGCAGTGAGCACTGGTAAGCACAGTGCACACCTCTGGTGGAGAAGAGGCCTGAGGGCATGCATCCCCCACACCCAAAAAGTGAGCTTTCCTCCTCAGCCAAGACCAGGCCTGGACCAAGAGAGCACATGGCCACACACTGCGCTCTGTGGTAGAAAGGCCTTGCTCAGGACAGCTGTACTGTGGGCATTTTCAACACAGAATCATAAGGGGGTGCCTGAGCCAACCAACACTCTCAGCCAAAGACCACAGTGACTGCCAAGTCCCTTCTGCAGGAGCCAAGCCCCTTCTGTGCCTTCCAGGACTCAAGGAAGGCTCCCGTGAAGGTCTGTAGCCAAGCCTGCTTCAGCCTCACAGACTTGAGCCTCAAATCCCTCCACACAGAGCCTCCTTCAGCTGGTGATAGGTGTTACCTCAGATGTGTCTTACCTGCCATAATCCAATCCAGCCCCCTGATGTCCTGCCCTTGGCAGCCTGACTTCCAGGCCATTCCTGCCCCACCTGCCCCCAGTGCTTCCAAACACAGGTCTCAGGAATTCTTCAGTGTGGCTGCACTTGCTAGCAAAAATGCAGCCTGGTTAGCTGGGCACTGGGGCACACGCTTCTAACCCGAGTACCTGGGAAGCTGAGGCAGGAGGACCACTGTAAGTTTGAGGCCAGCCTGTGCTACACAGTGACATGCTATCTAAAAAGAGAAAAGGCAGAACATGGCCTATTTTGTGAATGTACAACAGCTATTATATTAACCTTCCAGGGGACACCAGGCACTTTCAAATATAAAGAAAAACAAGATCAAATATAAATGAAGAGTTTTGTAATGCTGCAACTAATTTTTTTTTTTGTTTTTTGTTTTTTGTTTTTTGTTTTTTGTTTTTTGTTTTGTTTTTGGCAGAACCGGGCATTGAAGTCAGGCTCTTGCACTTGCCAGGCTTATTCTAGTGAGCTATCTCCCCGGCCCCTGCAACTAATTGTTCTTTGTCTTTCTCTCCAGAGTACTCACTTAACATAATGCTTTGTTAGAGAGGATTAAAGGAGGGAATGTTCCCAGACAGTCTGTGACAGGGTCTACGTCACTTAGAGGGAAGGCTCTGGAAGGTTCAGTTCACCAGAACAAGTTACAGATTTCGGAAGAAAACACTGCTTTCCCCTGTGAGAACAGTAATGTAATTTATAGTTAAAGCCGTGTGTAGTAGCACAAGCTTAGAACCTCAACCTACCTCTGGGAAGCTGAGGCAGAAAGATCAAAAATTTAAGCCTATCTGGGCAACTTGGCAATTTAGTAAGACTTCGCATCAAAAATTAAAGGGGGGGGGGGGTGGCAGGCTAGCACACACCTGTCATCCTAGCACTCTGGAGGCTGAGGCAAGAGGACTGCTGAGAGTTCAAGGCCAGCCTGGGCTACAAACTGAGTTCAAGGCCAGACTGAACTACACAGCAAAATCCTGTCTCAAGGGCTGGCGAGATGGCTCAGTGGTCTAAAGCACCTACTTAGAACAAGCTAAGCTCAAGCAAAGCACAGGGACCTCGGTTCAATCCCCCAGCACCACATGCCAGCCTGCCAGCCCCCTGGTGGGCTGAGCTGGCCACACACTAAATAAATAAATAAATATTTTAAAAAAAT